AATGCCTCATTCTGGTGGTCTTACTGTGTGTTATGTCAGTTTTGAAGAATGCCAATTATTAGCAGGAAACAATACAAAATTTAAGGTTTTTCTCCTGGATGTGACACGAAGTTGAGCAAATATTCAGTAAGGTAAAAATGAAAAATAACTGCTTAAAGGACAGTATTGGTAAAAATAAAGCAAATGTTAGCATCAGAAGAATGAGATTCCAGAACACACTTCTGCTAGGATGTGAGGCAAACTTCCCAATTGCTAAGTGCTCCATCTTTTATTTTTCTGAATTGAAGTTCTGAATGAAATTACTCCAAGACAAAGGCAAATGGTTCCAGTGGCTCAGAGGGTACATTCTGGTCCAATGCTCTGTATTATTTCTTTCCTAGATTTCTCAAGACTTTTAAGCAAAATATGTCTCGAATGTAACCAACTTGTGTCTATCTCATTTACCACAAACATCTAACAGTGCTGCACTTACCAGGGTACCTCTTTTGATTTTTAATTACTTTTTTTTTTTCACTTATAGAAAGCACATTTCAGTACATATACAGCACTGGGAACCCCCCAGCAGTCGTTACCCTAATGGTACCTGTACTAAACCCCAAGAGTCAGTTCACATAAGAGGGAAGGCTTAGCCTGCTTAAATTAGCCTTAATCTGTTACTCAACTTCAGTAGATAGTGCAACATGCTGAGAACAGGCTGTACAGCATGTTGTTAAGGATAAGCCGACAATGTATCTCATTTCTTCAGGCTTTTTTTTGCTCAGGATCAATTTACTGGATGTCTAGGCAGCTTGTTATCAATAGTTAAAGAAAGATGTTGGAAATCAGGCAAGCTCTCCAGTTTCCCAATTACTTTCTATTGTAACTTTAATAATATGTGCTAGTCTGTATTTCTAACTGAAACTAAGGAAAAATTCCTTAAATTCAGGTGTAGGAAAACAAAGCATTCAAGAATTTCCAATATTTTAGACATTCTAATTTTAATGAAAGTACTGACGGCGCTATTTATAATGTACAAAAATTGAGTATGATTGATGAGATAGTTAATATATTTTGGCAGCATGTTGTCACTCTGATGCATTTAGTTGATTATTTTGACTTGTTTTTATCAAACACATACTTATGCCTGAACATACTAGCCACAACTACTTTGTGAGTAGTAAACAACTTGATACATCTTTGTTATTTTCCAGCTCTCTGTCCTTAAATTATGATACCATCAGGGAAAGACAGGAACCTAAGCCTAGGTATACCAGAACGAAAACATGATTCTAGTTGTTTTGAAAGAGTAAATTCTGAAAAACAGCCTGTAGAGAAGGCATTGTTTCAAGTGAAAGGAGTTGACTTGCTGTATTTCTCTGTGTCACTCCTACAGAGTGCTGTAGCTTACTGGTATTTTTCTTGCCTCACTTGTATCATTTGCTCACAGAGCAGCAGGTGAGTCTCCTGGAATCAGTGTATGACTACTGCGGTAATCGCCAACGTGTACAACCTGACAGTAATTCCTGTCAGACCTACTCAAATTCTGGGATTGCTATTTTATACTAGATTTACTTCTCTTGTCATATCCAAGTTTTGTTACCAAGTAGTGGGAAGGAAAGGCAGGAGAATACTGCTATACAATACGGAAGTGAAATTGAGTCACTGAAAGAAATGGAAGTTATATTTTTTAAAACTTTTTCGATAGTGGCCAGTGTGAAGTGTCTTGGAGAGAGCTAGCTTGTGAGGTAAGACGCACAATCCTTGCAAACCCAAGAAGAATGAAAAGGAGGGGGGAAATACATGTTATGATGCTATTTATTAAATAAACAGGTAATACAGGATTTCACGTTAGAATCTACTGCTGTAGCATCCAATGCAAGATGAAAAAAAGCCTTTCTTTTAGATGAGCCAGGTGGCAGGTGGACAGCACAGGTTCTAGACCAGTGGCCCCATCGGCTATGATATTTATAAACGGTTTACATATAAACATGTAGTTTTACATACGGAGTATTTATAACCAGGCGATCCCATTGTCCTTTAATATCATCTTCAGACGGCTGCTCAGTTATGTATAGTCCATCAAATTCCAGCTTTCGAGCTACCTCCTTTTCTCTCTTGAATACAACTAGAGGGACCTATGCAAATGACGATGGACACATATGTCATGGATTATATATTTTTAGAAACCGTGGTCTCTACCTACAGTATTAAGTACTCTTATAATACTGTATAAGACCAAACACCACACTAGCACCTCCCACAAGCAGACCAAAGCCCTGCCAGTCTGACCAATGGCCACCTTGGAAGACAATCCCCTCCTCAGTTTTTATTGCTGAGCATGACGTTACATGGCATGGAATATCACTTTTGTCTGTTCAGGTCTGCTGTCCCAGCTGTGCCCCCTTCCACCTTCTTGCACCCTCCCAGCCTACTCGCTGGGGGATGCACAGAGTTGGTAAAGTCTTCACACTGTGCAAGCATGTTCAGCAATAATCAAAAGAAGGTGGGTATGTTACCAACAGTGCCTTAATCGCACATACTGTTACGAAGAAAGTTAACTCCATCTCTGCCAGACCGAGTACATGTGGAAAACATCTATTTATTGAACACTGAGAATTTGTAAAAACCTATGTAAAGATAGGTATTCCAGTATTAGCTCCAAAAATTGCTTTGGGACACAGCTGATGTTCTTTAACAAATAATAGACTAGTAATAAAATTCAGAACTTGCCTTTAAGCAATAGTACCCAATCACACAGACAAAGGAGATGATAGTATGAATAACTGCCAGTGCTCTGAGAGCGGGTGCCATGTAACCTGTACTTTCTTCTAAAACAAAAAACACCATGCCCTCCTCCTCTTCCTCTTCATCAAATGAGTTCCAGAGATTAGAGTCTTCCTCTACTTCATCAAGTGGCTCCTCTGTCACCTGAGAGAAATTCAAGCACATTGAAAACACACAATAAACTTTTCGTTTACTACAATGACAAATGATGTTCACAAAGCCTGCTCATGGGAAGACAGTAGAGCATTAGCTTTGAACAGTAATGTTCGTTTTCACAGCAGAAGACTCCATGTCGTCTCATGTCACTAAAAGGAGAATCTAAAAAAAGCAAGTACAAGCATATGACAGTTTACAATTGTCTCCTTTAACAGTTCCATTGAAAACCCAAACCAAACAATGAAAAAGTTATGCAAAAATTTTTTCTTGGAAGAAACAAGACAGATGGATTTGTACTGATAAACACAAACTTTTGACCTCGCTCTGCAATAGAATGGGTTGTTACCTGATCGACAAGACCTAGGGAAAAGCAGAGTGAGGTGTAAAGGACGGGCACAGGTAGAAATGGCCTTCTTCACATACCTTTGAAGTCCATCTTCTCTAACCGTGTGGGACAGAAAGAGAGAGGCAAGAAGGAGACTTAAATGGAACAGCCCTGATGGTCTTTCTCTTGGAACAGTGCATAAAAATTCTACCCAATTTTAAGAGGACTTTTGCATCTTTACCTGCCCTGTCTCCGGCACTAGAACTGTGTTGTAGGAGTTGCTTTTCATGATATTTGAGACCAGGATTCAGTTACATCTGGACTGAACATTCAGCCAGCTGCTTTTGCCTTCTCTGAAGCCTTTGAGTGTAATCAACAGAACTAGAAAATGTAATATTGGAAAAGAGAAGATTAATCTGCTTACTGAAACATGGAGCCTCTATCTAGAAGGGGAAAATCAAAAGGGCCAGTTCCAGGATAAAGATAAATGAAGACTTTTCTTATGGACTTCAAATCTGTAAGGAAAAGTTAAAAAACGAGGCTTTTGTGGATGGGAGCTCTCTTTAGTGAATTCTACTTTTCATGGATGCAAGTTGTGAAGATTCAGAAATAAAACTAGTGAAGGCTGTTGATGTTCTACTTTCTATCATTGGGTTATACGCAAGAACCTGAAACAACTCACTAGATCAGGTAAAACCTAAGTAAAGGTTTTTAAAGTATGGAGGTATAACCACCTTCCTCAGTGATACAGAAAAAGAACTGTAGCCTGCTATGAAAAGGCTTCTCTTGCTTTATATTTCTCCTGCCTGTGCATACCCATCTATTAAAATCCCAATCCTGGTATAGAAATATCTTCACCACAATAGTCACTAACAAACATAATGGCAATGACATCAGTGAAAATGGAGCAAATAAGTATAAAAACTTAATAATACTCTCACACAGAATGGGAAAAAGAAAAAAAAGCCCAACAACATTTGATGTTCATTAGAGATTAGTAGGTTCATTAAAAAACATGAGAAAATAAATTAAATAAAGCAAGCACCTGCCCCTCCTCCACCCCCACTCCCACCCCCCTCACCCAAAATGCCAAATGCCTTTCAGGCCTGAAAGCCATGACAAAAACTATGGACAAATTATGTATAGCTAAAATATATGAGCTCATTTAGTTAAATTGAGACATTAATCTGATTCTGACATTATATATAAACTATTTTCCAGTAAAAAATGAATGTAATCAGTAGGGTTCTTTAGAAAAAGCAGAAATATAATAATTCAGAATAACCAGATGAACTGAAGTG